AAAGCTGTTCTAATTATTTTCACATAACACACTCCATAGGCTGAACTTCTTTAACCGGTTACATTTTGTTATTTTTCCAACCCTCTTTATAAAATAAATTTTGCGATATGTAATGTACTGTTGTATGTATAATTATGTAAATGAGTAAAATGTAAAACTTAAACTTTTTTAATACAAATTTGTTTCTTATTTACTATTTTTCAAGTACAAACAAATATTTTTTAAACATTATTTTTCTGTCATTCAAATAGTTTTCATCTAACAGACATTATGAAAAAGAAATAAATCTCTATTATGGAAAAGCTCGGTGCGTAAAATAAAAAAGAATGTCGAACTTTTAGAATGAGAAAGTTCAAAGGGTACGGTTGAAAAGCAATCAATTCTGTTTAGTGAACTCCATGCAAATCGACCTCGCATTTGTGAGAAAAACAAATTGTCTTTTTTCCTGTCGAGTGAAAAAAGTCCACTTTATAACCTCTCCTCGGTTGGGTTCTAAATCTTCTAGAGAACTTCAATCACGCCTAGAATCTTTGTTCTAAGAAAATTATCCCCTAGCGTGCTGGAGGCATTTTCCAATTCTAGCGAACTGGAAAGGTACGTTAAAGTGGAAGTTTTCCTTAAAGAAAAATCCGAAAAAATCCCCAGGCTTAACAACAAAGTACAAACAACTTCAACCTACAGGAAAGAAGATATTTTTTAAATAATGTTTTTTATGGTACACGCATATATTGCTGCGAAGGTTTGGCATATAATCCGTTTAAACTAGTTATGTTTCAATTTTATTACAATATATAGTTAATAATTTTTGAATTTTTTGGTCATATTAACAACAATAGATAGTAGAATATAGTACAATATATATATTGGATATAGTAGTATAAATTAACAACAAAAACAAGTTTGGACTATATTAAATAATTTATAAGTAGACAAATTAAACATATTAAACTGACATATAGGTTCAAATTTATTTTATGAAATTAATTGATAAAAATGATTTAGGCCAACGGTTGTATATAAGAATTTTTTTTCGAGTGACCAGCCTTGTTTAATGATTTTCATTTAATCCACTTTATGCAACGTTTTGCTTTGGCCATTTTAAAATTTGAGGCTATAGCATGTCATACTACACAAAACCTCATTAAAATGTATAATTTTTCAATGCTGACATTAAAAAAAGAACGCTTTAAAAACAGAATTAAAAGAAAGCTAAAGGCAAAAGGTAACTTGAGTATTTATTATCCCTCTTAGAACCGAAAGAAAAAGATGGGATGAAAAGGTAGCGCTAGCAGAGATAATTAGTCTGTACCGAGACATTTTAATTTACCCTGACAAATAAATGTAGCATTAGAATAACTTCAGTTAGGAAGGAATCTATTCGGCTAGCCAATAAAAGTCAGGCTTTATTAAACAGAACTATTCTCGCAATACATATCAACTGCTGAGAACCAAGTGCATCAATGATTTTCTCTTTTTTATCGTGTTAAATTTATGTAATATTTCATATTTTATATTGAAATATCTATCGTTTCGATATAACAAAACACTGATCAAATTTATTATACGATATACTTTTAGGAAAGACCTGTGAAAAAAGAATTATAAAATTGTTTTAAATATGAAAAATCCATTACTAAAAAGAACTACACAATTCGGTAAATATTGATTTATACTGTGAGAATTCTTGCTGTTTGCTACGTGGTGATGAACTTCTAATTAGATCGTTACCGATTATTTTGGTCTTCAGCCCCATTTCAGAATTTTATCACATTCATTGTGTCTGAAACCAAATTGATTTATTTTATTATTTCTTTGATGATATTTCTTTATTTTCTTTTAATTCACGAACTTCCTGAGTTCCTCACTGAAGATGGTGCAATGCTGAAACGCGTTTGAATAACCCCACGGCGGAAATGTTCGCGATTTGGCACGCTCTCGAGGCGGTGAGGACCGAGGAGGGTTCAGCCTTCCTCGTGTGTACCGACTCTCTGAGCGATGATGGGGCACTGCGTGACGAATTCTCTGTTGACCCTCTCGTCGTGCTCTTGCTAGAAAGATATGCCAAATTGGTGCGCCTCGGAAAACGGTGGTTGTTGTCTGGGTCCCTGGACTCATTGGCGTGGAGGGTAACGAACGCGCGGACGCGGCGGCGAAAGTCTCACCCTCCCGACCGGACCATCAGGCCCTCTGACGTCTGTAAGCTGTAAAAAGATGATACGGGATAAATGGCAGCGTCAGTGGGCAGGGTCATCCGAGGGGTGCACGACCTGCAGATGGCCCCCGAGGATCTGAGCCGTAAAGAAGGAAGAGTGCTTACCAGATTAAGAATAGGCCATACGCGGTTGACACATGGGCACTTGCTGGTGGGCCAACCCCCCGCAGGTGTCCGTTATGCAGAGAAAGGTTGCTCGATATGTCCCTCATAGTCGACGCGTGTCGTGCCTTGGCTCCCTACAGGGCGCGAGTAGGCATGCCGCAAGAATGGCACAATTACACAGAAGACAAACACTTTGAGCCCTGAAGATGATCTCAATAAAGATCGAAACGTGGACACGATAAAGAAAATGTTTTTCTGAAACCTACATCACACCAGACCGCACCTCAGGATTTCTGAATAAATATTTTTTATATTCAATCAATGCGTTTGTTTTCTGCGTAATTGTGCCATTCTTGTTAACGGTCACTAATCACCACACATTTGATAAAAATGTTGTTATAATTTTGTTTATTATATTTTTATTTTATTTATTATATTTTTATTTTATTTATTATTTTCCTATCTTCTCCTTATTTATTATTATTTCTTGTTTGGTTTAATATATTATTTATTATTTTATTTATTATAATTTTTCGGAGTTACATTTTTATACGATTCGCAGAAGTTTTTGAGTTTTTCCATTTTATTTGGTTAAATTCATAGGTTGTATATAATAACTATTTCATGCATGTCAAACACAATACATTTTTGTATTTAAGTGCATAATTAAATTGATAGCGTAATCTAAATTATCGTTTTAATCATGAGGGTCAATGAGGTAAAAGTTAAAAAGTCGGGGCGGAAGCCTGAAACGGCGAGTGTTGCTAACATAGTAAATTGGGCAGGCATAAATCAAATCATAGTTGTGTAATCTCCTTAAAAGGGGATTAGCGGGCACGCGTGTTGGTTTTTAATTATTCAAAAACTTGGTCGACCCACGCCAGCCAACGACGAAATAAAAACGGCCCGTTTTATTGCCATGCGTTCCAGGTCCCGACGGTAGTTTTTCTTGGTGAGAGATTTCCATTTATTTTCACTCCAGTCGGGCTGGATATTCACGCCGTGGGGATGGAAAAAATGTGAATTGACGATTTGACTAACGGAACGATTCGACTTACAGGGAAAAAAACTTTCGCTAAACTGGAACGTCAATTTTAAAAACAATAACAAAATATAATTAAATTATAATTACTTATTTCTATTAATTAATAGAGAAATTTATTGTCATATTACATAAACACATATTTTGTAATATTACATATAACTATTATAAAACCCATGTATACAGTACGTTCACCGTACGGTAAAGGTCTGGGTTTGAATCTAGCGGACATGAAAAAAAATCCGTTGTATAAACTAATTTTTGGATCTCTTTTGTTGGAACTTGGATTTGTTCTTATACAATGAAGTAGTCAAAGGATAAGTTGTATTTTCCCCCGCTTGAATTTGGTTTTTATGAAGACCCGTAGGGAACACAGCATCATTAATAAACTTTTATAATGATATTGGATTCCATCATTAACCGCAGGGATCTAAGTATTAAAAAGAGCCCGACTAATAACATTTTATAATGACGGATCACATTTATTTTCACTCGTTAATATCATTTTCTTTTAACATGTACCTTCTTCGTATTTTCCGTGTTCAAGTAATGTTTAGTTTTAATATAAAATTCGGAAACACATGACTAAAGCTAAATATTCTTGAGAAAAAAATATCATTATCAAAAGAGGGATCCGCCCAGACGAACATCGAGTAATTTGGAGGAATGAATTGTGAACAGACTGCTATGTTGTATGGAGTGTTATGCGTTAATCGATGGGAATAAATGTAATTTTTTAGCGTATGTAATGGTTTGCTTAACCCCGCTCCGAAAGATTTAGAGTACTCTGGAGTAAGTGTATGTCGCCTGGAGAGTAAAAGTAAGTTACTAGCGAGAATGGAGTCGGTTCAAACCCGACCAGAAAAATATCGAATAACCGGGTTGAGTGTGTGACGTCCGGAGAGTAAAAGTAAGTTATCAGCGTAAATGGAGTGGGTTTAAGCCCGAGGAATATCGAGTTCTATGTGGGAGCGAATGTGACCAGACTTCTCTTTTGTAGACTGGTGATGCATATATGTATACATATGTGTTGTATAGCTAGTATTGTACATTCTGTATTTGACAATTTGAGTTAAAAATGAGAGGCTAGCATTTTAGTTCATTGACTCAGTTTTCATACAACAATAGAGAGATTAAATGGAGAGACGTTCAAATGGCTGCGGGCTAAAAGGTCAAGAAAAGAGGTACATGTGTGTAAATATACAGGAGAAAAAATGTTTAGCTGAATTTAGGTTGTACGGTGCTCAAAGTTGTACGTAATAATTTCTGTCGTTTGCCGCATCACCTATAAAAAAGATGCAGCATTTAACAAGTCAGAAGTACGTCAAGTTTGGTCTTTTAAACAAGATTTTGTTTTCTAAAGGAAAAACCATAAACAAAAATGTTACGGCCATGATATTTGCACCAAGACGTTGGGTTGTTAATGTTTGAAATTCTTAAAGAGAGCAGTACAAGTGCTTATTAATTTTTTATAAGAAATTCATATCTATTCGAAGTACTTTTTCGTTAGTAAGGTATTAAAAACTATAATATGATATATTATGTTAATATCATGGTAAGATGTTCGTCATTTTTATTATATCATCCACCTCTGATACGATTATGTAAAAATTGACTCAAAGTTGTTTTGTCATGTTTCAGGCAAATTGGTCAGAGCGTGGAAAAAAGGCATCGCCATTTTGACTGCGGGTGACATAAAAGTAAGCCCAGACGACAGGCTGTCGCTCGTCAACGGCTACGACCTAGAAATCCGATCCGTCAGATCGGAAGATGAAGGCGACTACGTCTGCCAGATCGCCTCTCTCCAGCCGCAGGAAATAACGCACACCTTGGAAGTGCTAGGTGAGTACAGCCACTTATTTGCTAAGCCGAGGCGTCGGTATTTATGGTAATAGTGACCAAAAGTAGGTCTCTCGGTTTACTTAGGAAGGCAATAACATGCAATTATAACGGCCCTCCTAAGCACATATTATTCTAAGGGTAAGCCGCAGAACAAGCAGAGCACTGTGCAGCCCATTTAGTTACGTAAAATGACTCTAGGACATTCTTTCCATTCAGCTTCAAAAGGACACCCGTTTTACGACCAACTACTTCGTTACCTTACACTAATTACAAAATTTATATAATTTTTATTTTTTATTATTTATATTACATCACAATTATTTTAAAAATGTACCCTATGAATTTGAAGGGAGCTTTAATGCTCATTAATTTGGATAATATGTTAAAAGGAACTTCCAATTTTTTATTTAAAAACTACTATATTCTAGATAAAACTTAAAGTTCAATTTATGCTTTATATGTATAAAAATGGACCTTGAAATGAAATGGGATATTCTCATGATCGTAAACATTTGGGTAAATTTTAGCTCATTTTTGAAAAGAGGAAACGTAGGTCAAGAAGGGGAGATAACAAAACGGGAGCAAATCAGAATCTCATTGATTTTTCACGTTACGCCGTAAATAAATGAATGTATGAACTACTTCAAATATAGTTTTTGCCACAGTGCTTTAAAATTATTTGCGATTCCGAAATGAAGACCAAGGATATATTTTGATGAGGGTACGAAGAAGACTAACTAATTCAGTTTTCTGACATTATTACAATTAATTAATTCTAAATAGGCTGCTGCTCTACCACTTGAGCTATCGTGACTTCGATCTACTATTTAACCTACTTTTCGAATTTTCCCTCCTTTTTGCCAGTTTTCAAATGTCGTGTAATCAGGATTCGATTCTCGGCAACAAATGAAATGGCCACGGAGAGCTTTAGTGAAAATATACTTCTTTTTATTTATTAAATCCATTATATTTCTGTGTCCGATTGACCAAATAACTTCTTCCAATTAATTAATCTTCATGTAACGAATTGGTTGAAATGAAAAAGTTAGTATCATGAGCGGGATTCGAGCCCACGACCTTCGGCTAAATACGCCGCTGGTCTAACCACTTGAGCTATCGTGACTTCTATCATCTCGCTCTTGATACTAACTTTTCATTTCAAACAAAACCTTAAATAAAAATGTTTATTAATTGAAAGAAGTAATTTGGTCAGTCGGCCCACGAAATATAATGAATTATTACAATTTTTAAATATAAGACATTTTTACAAAATGCTCAAAACTTGAAAATGTCTCTTGGCGAAAAATCGGGCAAGTGTTCTGTTAGAAAGATATCTATTACGATATGGAAAATAAGGGGTGATAGAATTTCGATGAGAGAAAGTGGAAAAAGATGCTGGTAGATAAGAAAGAAAGAAAAAGAGAGAAAAAGAAAGAGACAGAGAGAGAGAGAGAGAGAGAGAGAGAGAGAGAGAGAGATCGTAATATAATGAAATATATAAATGAAATAACAGATAGATTGATCCTCGAACTAGGGAATAAACCTTTATTATTACAACATTATTATGTTCTCTTCCAAATTATTCTGTTATTATTATTACCTCTGAAAATTAAGAAATGAAATATCGTTGCATCTGTTCGCATTATTTATATTTATGTCATTACACTAAAATTGTTTTTATTAACTGGAAACTAACATCAATTTATCTACTTTTAACGTATTTATTCTTGTCCCTTTAAATACATTTTTAAATGATTCTGATGATAATATAAATGTGTCTGGAAAAGATTAATATATAGTGCTTTTTTCCTTCATTCCCTTCTCTTTTCTCTCCCTCCCTGTCGGACATTTCAGCATATTCTTTTTCCATCTTATAATCTGTATCTTTTCCACACAAAATTGATTCCAGTCAAATTGTATCTCGACTGTGCCTCGATTTTCAAGTTTTCTATCTTTTCAAAACATTTGTTTTTATTTAATTTTGGATTGGTTGCTTTTTTTGCTATCTATACATTACTACATAAACTATACATACAAACAAAAACTGTATTTGATTGAGGTTATACAAAAGCACAGGCACAGTACACATCATCAGGCCATTAACACAGACGATACTACGGCGAACCGGAAAATCATAAATCCTAACGCTTCCAACTCGCCTTTTCATCCAGCCTGCATAGTATATGTCACAATATCTTCGTTCAGCGTTTGTAGAGGGCACATCCTATCTAACTAGTGGGATTTCATATGAGCCACATTATCCCTAAAATTGTGTGAAATTGTCAGCCGCGAGTCGTCAGAACGTGGCTTTGTAGGCTTTCCTGCTCCACCATGAACCTCTAGAACAAGTTTACCAACTTTTGTAACAAGCACTTGATTACAATCCGAGACGTGTTCCAACTTAATAAGCGCAAATTCTTTACCAGATCTCATTAAAATAAAACAGCGAAATGAGGCGGAGCGGTCTTTACTACTTTAGAAAATCTCATTTTCTTATGACATTGTAATGAAGAATAATTAAACAAGTTTTAAACTTGCCAGTGTCCCACGCGACCAAGAAAACTAAAATTATCTTTCAAGTTCTGTAACAAAATTAAGAATATTATTATAGTTACACTGGCCATCAATGTTGTTATTTCGAGTAAATTTAATTTACACAATTAATTAGCAAAATTAATGTTATTTTCACTCGCATCAATTTACCGAAATAAATAGTATTAAATAAACATTTAAAACGCCCCTGTTAAATGTTATTTAATATTCACATCACGTGAAATGAAATGAAAAATAAACTTTATTCTAGGATTTAAATTCCACTTGAATATATAATTTAATAATTTTGATTACAACGTAATTACAGTATTCCGGCCAGGTAAGACTATAAGAAATTCTAATTACAAAAATGTATACTGGATTTCACCATTTCAACGCAACACCCACTTTTCTTGAAAAAGGAGGGAAAAAATGTTTAAATGATAACCTCCATAGCTTGTCCTAAGGATATAAATAAAATAGGTGGTATAAACATTTTAAATGTCACAGTAATAAATAAAGTGAGTAGTAACTTTATTTTTCAAATAAGATATAATAGATTTTGATTTTTTTGGTATAAAATGGCACCAACAACAATTAGATTGGTTGGAAATATTCAATTCAAAGAGTGGGAGGTAGTTCATAATTTCAATGTTGTTCTAAGGTCTATTCACGAATAATCTGGATCTCGGTATGGTCTGGATGAACAAAAACATATTCTGTTGTTAGGTATCGTCCATGTTTTCGATCTATTTTAAGGTTATGTTGGGGCTTCGGCGACCTCAAGTTAGGGTCGAGGTATATCTTTACCCCGCTGTTCGAACAAAGGGAAAATAAAAGAGACTGCTAGACAAGTTTCTGCTTTTATTTCACAAAAATACTTGTAGAAGTAAAATGACAAAATTAAATGGCTTACTCGCACAAACTACAACAAAAAGATAGGCTTGTCAAACACAAAATAAAATGAAATAAAAAAAATTAAAGAAAAATCTACAAAAACACAAAGGAAAAAAAACAAACAAACGACTTGCGTGTTCTGGTGGTACCCCTATTTAGCCGGCGAAATGTAAGTCAGGCGACGCGTTGACGCGGTGGCAGGCGTTCAGCAGCAAAAAGCAGATGCGGGCAGCAACAGGTCAAGCAGTAGTTCCGACCAAGGCTCGAGCGTAAGTAAAAGTAAAACTCCGAGTCATGTCAACAATCCTGTTATCGGCGAGTTAATTCCGTTGTTCTCAACATGATGCCGATCACCGCGGCTCGGCCCGAAAGCGTACGGCCGTAACAGGTTATCATCAAGGCCAAACAACCTTAAAGATGTATAAAAAGTGACTTAATTAAATTTTTAATAAATGGTTTCAAATTTCTCCTCTGCTTAGTATGGCAACATTTCTTGGCAATATTGGGATTCATTCTATCTTCAAAGGAATTTGAAGCGATTTATTAAAAAATTAGTTATGTAAATCTTTAGACATAGTTAAGACAGTTTTGTTCTGATGATGATGTTGACATAGGTCAAAGATTGGGAGCAAACAATTGACTTGGTTGATAGAAATGATGAAGATGGATTGAGTATGGAGATTCACTTTTTATAAATGATGGTTCTGATTTTTTTCAGATTTGAAATTGTATTTATTGGATTCAAATTGGGGTGTAGAACCATCATTCACAAAAAGTGAAAATTGAATCGGTTCTTGCATTCATACCATACCAAAATCCGCATTATTCTTTCATAAAAAATCCGTCTGTACGTCTGTCTTTAAACAAAAACTGTTGCCATTGTTTCTCGTTTTATTACTATTTTTACAGCTGTTCAAATTGGCTCCCACCGGCTAACAGACAATAACACGCTCTCGACAAATACCGCTCGTTTTTCATCAGTGATTGACATGGAACGAATGCTATGGCAGGCTTTGATTACTCCATCCTTAAGTTCTTGAACGGATGGGAGAAGAGTGAGACTACCATAAACGCCATTCTTTAAATGCTTCCAAACAATAAATACTTCAGCGGGATTAAATCGTGAGAACGAGTTGCCCAAAAAATTCCGATACGGTTTCTAATACATGTCCAGGAAAGGTCTGATCAAGGAATCATGGGACGATAATGCTGTTATGTACCGGGCAGCCGTCTAGTTGAAACTATAGCCATGCACGTACCTGCAATGACTGCTCTTCCATTAATCCCGGTGATTCCTTACGAGAAAAATGAAAAAATAAAATCTCCTGACAAATTATTTTGACCGAAGAAGTAATTTAGACCCACCAAACATTAATTGGGTTCAAAAATTTTGCCAGATAAAAATAACATTATTGGGTGACTTTAGACTCATCATTCCAGAGAGTAAATCGGAAATTTGCTCCATTACTTTTATATACATGCCAAAAAAGTAGTCCTTCGTTCATATTCGGTTGACCGCAACCCTTAAACGAGAAAAATCCTGTATGGTTTAACACAATACCCAATCAATG